AATCTGCATAAAAGAAAAAGTTATCAAGGAGTTACTCCACAAGAAAGCATCAAGCCCTGATGGTTTCATAAAGGAACTGATACATTTTTCTACAATAAAATTTTAAAAGTTTGTATGACAAAAACAGAAAAATCAAAATCACAGAAAGACATAAAAGTGGTCCTTACATATGAATTTTAACTTCACTTACAGGAGAAATGAAAGTTAAAGCTATAACGGGATATCATTTCTTACCATCTGATTGGCCAAACTCAAAAGCTTGACAATATATTGCTATTGAAACTTTGGGGAAACAGTCTCACACATTCCTTGTGGGATCTGAATTGCTACCACCTTTATGGAAAGGAATTCGGCAATTACCTAATAAAGCCACACATGCATATGTCCTTTAACTTAGTAACTCCACTTCTAGGAATCTACTCTGAAGGTATGCCTCAAACAAAACGGAAATGGGTAAGATCATTTACTGTAACATTTGTTATTTTGCAAAGTATCGAGTACCACCTAAATGCCTGAGCATAGTGGATTGATAGGATAAAATAAGGTACTTAGATGCCATGGAACACTGAGCATCTAGAGGGGAGGGCAAGAGGGGGGAGATAGATCTATGAACTGGCATGGAGCAGTTACTACAGATGTTTAGTGAAAAATGCAAAGTTAATAAAAGCATGTATGTGAAACAGCTAATAAGCACATGAAAAAGTGCTCAACTTCATTCATCATTGGGGAAATGCAAATGTAAACCACAGGATACCACTTTGTATCTGCAAGAATGTCTATAAACAGTTTTTCCCAAATTTCGGTGAAGATGTGGAGAAACAAGAACTCTATGTTGCTGGTGGGAATGTAAAATGATACAGCCACTTAGAAATCACTTTGACAGCTTCTTAAAAAGTTAAATATAAATTTATCATACAACCCAACAATTTCACTAAAAGGAAATGAAAACCATGTCCACATAAAGACTTGCAGTTGAATGTTCACTGCAGCATGATGTATCACAGCCAAAAAGGGAGCAACTCAGATGCCCATCAACTTCCAAACAAACATGCATAGTTCAAATAATGGAATACTATTCAGCAATAATAGATAGAAATGCTGATATATGCAATGACATGGATGGACCTCAAACACATCATGCTAAGTAAAAGAAACCAGAGCTCAAAAGGTAACACTGTATAATTCTATTTACATGAAATGCCCAGAAAACTCTAGATGGAAAGTAGCTCTTCCTTGCCAGGGTGAGGTGGGAACAAGGATTAACTGTAACCAGGCGTGAAGAATTTTACTGGAATGATGGAAATATTCTAAAACTGAATTGTGGTTGGAATGCACAACTCATAAAATGAGTGAATTGTGTGGCATTGAATTACATAGCTCAATAGTTTTGTTTTAAAAAGGATATATATGATGTATTTTATGGGATATAAATTACTCATCGATAGTTATTTTTTTAAAGAGCATGTGTGGAGAAGGACCGACCCTATGTTTACCTGACTTGTCCACTTTTAGCTTTATCTGAAAGTTGTATCCCAAGGAAGTTCTCAGTCCTAGGCAAACCAGGAATGGTGTCCCTACCTGTATGCCACCTTTTGTGCAAGAAAGAGAGGGACTCAGAAAACAAATTTACTGCTTTTCTTCCAAAAAAGAAACATGGGAAAAAACAGAGAAGCTGGATACCTACAAGGTGGTGCCGGAGTTGGGCAGAAAATGAGTGACCCTTCTCTCTGTATGCCCTCGTACAGTTCTGACTTTTAGAAGCGTGCTAATGTTCAATACATAAAAAATAAAATTAAAGATGGGAAGTTTGGGGGGGAGGGACCTTAAACTTGGAAGAAAACTGAAACAAATGAACCCGATTTATTTCCAACAAATAATCACAGTGAAAGAGAAAAAAAGAATGACTCGAAATAATTTATGAATACGGAATATAGCCATATATCCTTAGTCTTGGGCAGGGTACAGACAGGGAGAGAATACAATCTTATAGGCTTTTAAGCGTGTATTTTACAGTGATATAGGCAGAAGCAGGAAAAAACTACTTTAGATGAATCATAGGACTAAACAAGTGAATATACTGACAGACTTTTTGGGGAGCCAGGATTCCTGGGAAGAAGGGACACAGAAATATGGGATGAGGAAGGAAGGAAAGAACCCTATGAGGATGGGTTGAAATTGGAGGTATTAGTGTGAATGCGTGATTTCTAAAACCAAATATGGATGGGAGCCCATGTAACATGCATGTGTACGTGTGTATTTGTGTGTATGAACATTTCCTAGTTCCGTCTGCTGAAGAGGCCGAGCCGCAGCAAAACACCGAGTAATGATAAGCATGCCCAACAGCCAGACAGATCTATGTATTTTTCATTCCCAAGGATTCCCTGAAAAAATTGCTGATTCCAGATCCTGGAGCATCTTTTATTTAAAATAATGTGCTAAAAAAATAATTAAAAAAAAAGCAGATACAAGGAAGTAGGAGCCAGAATGAAGAAGCTCCTGCTGGCCAAATCTAAGACAATTTAAGCACCAAAGAATTTGAGCACCGAAGTTAAGTAGTGAAACACAAGCCATTAAGAAAATAGAAAACCAGGAGTTTAGAGCAATAGCTAATATAAAAACTCACGTGGGCACACAGGGATGGGTGAAGGAGAAAGGAGGGCTCCTGCTCACAGCAGAATGCTAAGTGCTAACTGGTACATGAGGAAGAAATGCTGGAACTGGGAAATCATCCTCCAGCTATCCAAACAAAGAAAGAATGAGCAAGAATCATCAGTGGATGTTAAATCCTGGGGGAAAAAATACTGTTGTTACCATGGACTTAAAAGAATCTCCCACAGATTCTTCATTACAAGCATGATAAAAAGAAAAACAACCAGTAACTACACTTTGGAGAAAGTGAACAACACCCCGACCTGGTGACCAAAATTAACATCTCCAATGACGAGCAGATGTGACACCAACGTGGTTGGTATTCTTGGAGTGCATAACCTGAATCTAATGATGAGACCCCAAAAAGGGGGGCAGAGGAGACAGAAGACTGTGTCCTTCAAAAACATATTACATTAATGCCATGAAAGACAAAAGGGGTCACAGGGAAGAGCCAGAGTAAAGGAGACTTCAGGGAGGGAAAATAAACAAGCGAATGTTAAAATAAAAATGGCAACACCTCAGTAATGGGTAAATCTGGTTAAAAGATGTATAAATGTTCTTTGTACTAGTCTTATTTTTACCGATTTTCTGTACATTTAAAAACATTTCCATAAAAAGTTAAAAAATAATTAGAAGAGACTGATCTTGGGTTGTTAATCTCGTGTTTTGCCTAATACAGTTACTAAAATGTGGTTATTAAAAAAAAAAGACTACCATCTACGATTTTGTCATTTCGTTTAAAGGAAGTATGAGGGGACATTTTAAACATTTAAAAAATAGCCATCATCACCAAATAAGAGTGACCCTTTAAAATAAAATTTAGATTTCTAAAAAAAGACATCACATTGTCCTAGCTTCTCTGACTTCCCCGTGGACCAAGGAGAGCTCTGTCAGCCTGGTGTTAGGGAATCAGTATTCCAAACAAGGTCCATTTTTGGCAATGGATGAAGTAGTTTTGTGCAAGGAGAATGGAGTCTGGAAACAAACGCTGAATCAAACCATGGCTCCAGCTGTTACCATCTCTTGTAACCTAAGCTTTCTTCGTTTTCTCCAAGGCAAGGCACATAGCCAAATCATAGGACTGTGGGGAGAATTAAATTAATACATCTAGAATAGTGCTTCACACAGAGAAGGTGCTCAGCATGTCTCCTTGTCTTCCTTTCCTTGGGAGCCACCTTTCTGTTCTCTAGAGATGTTTCTGTCCAGGGCCACACCAGCCCTTTCCTCACTGACCTGAATTCAGTCCTTCTAGGATTATGTAAGAAACTGAACTATCCCAAGAATAAGCCTCCTTTCTGGAGGTAAATATCAGGAAAACCAAAGCCAGAGATACTAGATAGTGGAATAAAAAGTACTGGTTTATGTTAGAAAAGTCTACTGCTCATAAAAAATAATTATATATTTTTCATGTATTAATGTCTATTTTGCAAATGACCATCTACTTCCAAGAGTAAGTAACAGTTTATGTCAAAAATAAATAGTATTAATATCACCAATTCTATTTATTTTACTGGCTATTATCTTAAAAGAAAAAAAAATCAATTCAGTAAAATGTCCATAAAGTATGAGATTTCATCCAGTAGTCTACTGTCTTTTTGCTTCTTTCTACATATTTCCTATATCCATCTGACAGGACAATTTCCTTTTCTAGCGCCAATGATAGTAATTCTTTAACAATCTTTTTAAAAATGAAGAAAAGTTTTAAAAATAACTAAATTGCATTATAACAAAAAATTATATTGCCAACAGAAATTTAGTTCAACATTTAAAATCTTTATAAAAGATAAACAAATTCTTATCTTTCCTTTATTTCATAACTGAAAAACGAAAATGCTTAACATGAATGTTTGATACATAATTTCCTTAGAACTATATATATTTAAAGAGCGTATACTATTATCAGCACTCACGACAATTTCAAACCAACTAGCATTGGTATAGCTTCAAATCACTATTAGTTGTGGCTATTTTGGAGAAAAAAGGTACAAAGCTTATTAGGGCCTAGCACACAAGAAAGACTTGTTTTTACATAGTCATAGAGTTCAAAAGTGGCGTTATAGTGTAAAGACACTACAAATTGCCATCTCTCTCATATGTATCTTAAAGCAGGCTGGAAAAATATTCAGTACCCTATATATAATTAACTAAAAAAATACTTCCATTGACTACTTTTTGCCCAGAGTGAGTAAGGAACAGCTCCCCCCAATTTTTTTTTGTGCTGCTTTATTATCTGATAAACTGCTAATAAGCTCCTATTAGTAGTTCTTTAGATATTAACCCAAGTAGTCTTGGTCTTTTGATCATATATATATTCACATATATATGCATCCGTTTTTTCAAGTAAAGAAATGTTTAACAGATGTAAACTATTTATTGAATATTTGCCACCAAATATTGTTAAATACATTATCTTGCAGCATATCGCTTTCAAGTTAAAATGTCAGAAACAAACACCAATATTTACAATTCTTTTAAGGAATGTTATATAATGACACATTAAGGCGTAAATTCTTTTGGCTTATAATTCTTAAAAGAATGATAATAGCAAAAGTGATGCAAAATCTTCAGTGTGAGATTATGATTAAGCTACATTTTACAAAAATATGGTGTAAGATGGCAATAATCCCATTCAACATCCTGGATTAGATCCCTTCAGGAGGGACTGATAATTTATACAGTCAAACTTTAAAATTTACAGATAAAGGCAGTTCAATACTGCCACTGAGAAGTACATCTCTCAACATATACAACTTTCAGGCCACAGTTTTGAAGGTCTGAAGTATCAAGTTGGTTTGATGAATTAGTCGGTTGGCACTTATGAACACATTTATTGCCCTGTTCAAAGAAAAAAAAAGAACAAGCATTAATTTTATACAAAAATTCATTATTTATAAATATCTATATTAACAGTAGCGATGAAATAATTTGGGGAATAAAAGGTGAGTCAGTATGGAGTATCATAACTTGTATTTCAGATTGGAATTCAATGGTCCTCAATCATTTGAAACTAGGAATTACTGACCCCTAGTGGCTCTGGTTGGCAATTAGGTGTTGGAGGGCTGCTAATGACAGGTGGCACCTGAACCATCAGGGTTTATTTATAGGTCAAACAAATAACTGATTCAAATGTACTCTCCAGCTGTGATTTCATAGAAGTTAGCAAGATAAAATCTGCAAAAGTACTACACTCAGTCTCAGTGTCAATGGGCATTATAAATACTTAAGAAAAAGTTAATTACTTTCAAATATGATTCATCCCAATCTATTTTCAACAAAATAATCATGTGGTTTCAATATTTTGGAGCTGACAATATATAAAAACATATTCTAAAAAAATTATGCTGTGTTATCCCACATTTACTATCAGGCCACCTCCATGTATCTAAGTAAGACAGAACTGATGCCCCATTATGTGGCCTTACCAGTTCTTTAATTGCATAGCTAAAGACTTTATTTCCATTCCAGGCATTTCTTAAAAAAGAGGAACGCTGAGGAATTAAGTTGAATCAATGCAAATTTATCCCCCTATTGAAAGACAGCTCAAAGATCAGGCTGTAGTAATAACTTCCAGTTTGAGGAAACAGGTACAAAACTCCCGGCACATTATTCATACACAATTGTAATTGTAATTTAAAGAAGTGCTGAATGAAGAAAAAGTAATGGAAGGAAGCCTGAACAATCCACATGCCTGTCTGAACTGTTAAAAATAATTTTGGGGCAAAGGCACTGGGACTTTTAAATGTTGAACCCAAGTCATTCTAGACTGAAAGTAATTTCAGATGAATGAAAATTTGGCTCTACATGAATTTCTACCTTTTAATGTACTTTTTCTGGTAATTCTTAATTAATTAGAGTCAGAAATAACGATCCCAATGTGTAAATTATTCTTTTAATGTGTTTTTGGTTATTTGGGTTTAGCAGAGGAGATCAAGGAAAAACAGATGTAAGTTTATTTTCAGAACACACCTGCCAGCTTACTAAACTGAAGCATTTCCCATAGACAACCTAAATAGTAGTAGAATGGAATAAAAAATCATTAATACTTTAACTCAGTATCTTTAGTTCATAATATAAATGTAAATGGTTTGACCTATTTGAACAATTAAAAATAGCTTTAAAATCAATAGATCACATTAATGCAGTATTATTTTAAAAATATTATTACAGCCCTGGTTGGGGTGGTGCAGTGGGTTGGGCATCGTCCCACAAAGAGAATGGTCCCCAGTTCAATTCCCAAGTCAGGGCACATGCCTGGGTTGCGGGGTTAGTCCCTGGCCAGGGGTGCATACAGGAGGCAACTGATTGACGTTTCTCTCCCTCTCTTTCTCCCTCCCTTCCCATCTCTCTAAAAGTAAGTGAATAAAATTCATTGCAAAATCCCATTGGGATTTTAAAAAACTGAACCCAGGAGAATCTAATATGCAAACAGGGTTGAGAACCATTAACTTTAATGCAGCAGCTCTTAACAGACATACAGCATGAGTATCATCTGGAAATTTCTTAGAAATAACATGCAGATTCTTGGGGCCATCCTCAACAATAAGAAACTTTCAGTATGGAACCCAAAAGCAATTTGTGCTTTAACAAGCCCTACAAGGGATTCTGATGCTACTAAGAAAATTGGGCCAATAAGCCAAATCTTACCTTGTTTCTGTATGAACTGCATGCTAAGAATACTTTTATGTTGTTTAAATGGTAAAATAAAAAATACATACAAAGGAATAGTATAATGTGACAGGTGGAAATTACACAAAATGCAAATTTCAGTGCCTATAAAGAAAGTTTTATTAGAAAATGGCCATAGTGCTTACTTGTTTCCTTATTATCTATGGCTGCTTTCACACTCACTGCAACAGCACAGGTGAGGAGGGAAGCTGCCACAAAGCCCACCAAGTCAAAATATTTGCTATTGGGCCCTCTTCAGAAAAAGTCTACCAACAACTGGTCTAGACTGGTATGACTGGGTTATCCACCATTCACTTTCATTTCTAACAGCTTATCTTAGTAGTTGATGTAAGTATTAACAATACACTAAAAGGGCTTAATTTATATGGTTTTAGTATCATATAAACCACGTAATTTATTTAATTTTAAAAGAGAAGGCCTTGGCTGGTGTGGCTCAGTGTACTGAGTGCTGGCCTATGAACCAAAGGGTCGCTGGTTTGATTCTTGGTCAGGACACATGCCTGAGTTGTGGGCCAGGTCCCCAGTGGGGTATGCACAACTGGCAACCACACATTGATGTTTCTCTACCTCTCTTTCTCCCTCCCTTCCTTTCTCTCTAAAAATAAAAAAAATCAGATCTTTTTTTTTTTTTTTTGAAAAAGAGAAGGATCACCCTGGCCAGGTAACTCAGTTGGTTGGAGCATCTTCCCAATATGCCATGGCTACAGGTTCAATCCCTGGTCAGGGCATATACAAGAATCAACCAGTGAATGTATAAATAAGTGAAACAACACTTAAACTGTTGTCTCTTTCCTCCTCACTTTCAAATCAATCAATAAAAACTAAAAGAGAAGGTTTTAAATACATAAAAGTACTTACTTGCCATCTTTAAAATAGGTTTTAAGAGTATCACTGAAACTTTTGGAATATTTTACAAATTCTTTCTTTTGGTGTTCAAGTGCCTATGAGACATAAAAAAAAAATTAAAAATACTAAGAAAGAAAAGAGAAGTAACACAAAAGCCAAAGACAGGAGATCATTTCCAGTAATCGAACCGTCTTGTATTTAATTCTATAAAACAACTAGGTATAAACCCAACTGGGATGGCAGTGTGCAAGGCTTCTAGTAAACTTACCCTGCGGTTCTGGTATTGATATTTCTTGAAGACATTATTCACTGTATCAAGAAGTTCTTTTATTGCACTAGCTATATCCCTGTCGGATAAGGAAAAAAAGAATCTTCTTAAAATCAGTTACATTTGAAAGAAGGCTGTGTATATATTTTTAAGAATTACTATCCACACTGTTAATTACCATACCAACACTCTGTCGAGCACAAACATCTGACTAGCTGGCTGAGTGGGAGGGAGTTTTTGCACGCACCCTTCTGTGATCCTGACTTCTCTTAACGCTGCTGACCGAACATTCCACAACATCAAGTTTCCCAATTTAGTAAACATTTCAGTTAGCCTTACTTGAATTTAAAAGAATATGCCTCTGCCTCTCATCTTTTCCAGTTATAGTGTTTCCTTTCTCTCACTAATATAGCTAAATTCAAGCTACCATATTCTCTACTTTTGCTATCTCATGAACAGTGATATGACACTTTGCTATTACATGTAACTCATTTCTAATATTAACCAACACTTTGAGTTATATACCCAATAGTTTGATGTTTTAAAATACTTCCTCCCAAACATAGCTCTTCTTGCCACACATTTACCTTCTATCTATGTCCCCTCCCCATTCCAAGCCTATATGTATACATTTAAAATATATTTAAATTTCTGGGAGAGACAGTATCAGAGTATTTTTTTACCTTAACCTTTCCAGTAATCACCCTTTGCTACATCTGTATGCATCAACACCTCCCTCCCCCTACTAAAGAGAAGAAATCCGTCAGTTCTCATTTGACTATTCCTCCTAACCATGCCATCATTTTTTCTGAACTCTTGTCTTTTATATCTATGCTCTTTTCAATTTTCATGTTCTAACTCCATAGCAATGTTTTTGTCAAACTGCATTTAACATAATTCTGCAGTCTCACATTATCCAAAGCAAGCCTTCTCTTTTTCACAACCATTGTCTTTGCTGCTAAAATGTAATCCGAGTGTAAGATGCAAATTAATAAAACATAAATCCAGACCATTCCAAGAGAAATTTTTATGACTTTTTAATAAAAAATGTCCGATTTCAGTTTCTTCATACCTGTAACGACGTTTCAGCTTTACTATTTAAAGAAAAAAAAACTCGGTGTCTAGATTGTCCAGGTTTCATTGTGCATGTGAGTGTATTTCACAGCATATTTCTAGTAAACAAACATTTGGCAATTCTAAAAATTATCAGTCTTCAGGATTCTGGTATAAAAAAGGGATTTTAGCCTATTCCAAAGTAGTTATGACATTTCAATAAATATTTACTTACTACATTTTATATGTCAAACATCAGCATCAGGCTTCGAAACATTCAAACATTAAATACTCAAGTATTTTTTACATAGAAACGACATCTGTATGCTTTTTTTTGGCCTATAGTTTAACTGTTCCTTTCATTTGTTTTTAAGCAAGTTGTAAGTCCACCTTGCTCAATAAAACAGTGTCACATTACCATATTATGTGAGAAAGTCACAATTTCAACAAGTAAAAATTCTCTAACCTCTAAATATGATTCTTCATATCCACAGTGAGCGTATTTAAAACAAAGTACGATGGAGTACATCATACATTGATCAGAGAGCTGTTTATACACAACTGTACTTTGTGGTATACTTTAAAATTCTGCTACAAAGAATAAAAATGTCCTTTTAGTGCTAACGAACAACATGAACATACGTTCCCTATACAATGGTAATGGCTGAACTGCATAGGTCAAAAGAGCAACTCTAAAGCTGGCGGCTCCCTCACTCACCCAGGCGCAAAAACAAAAGGGGAGCATAGGGGCAGGGAAGGGAAGGGAGGGTTTAGTGGATAGTACTCCATCCTACTAATAAATTTTGGGAATTTGTGCTTTAAAAGAAAAAGGGGGTGGGGGAAGCTCTTCAGGTGATTCTGTTGATAAACCTGGTTTGGGAAGTGTTGTGTGTGAACCCAGAACCTAGAGTTGAGGTTCTTTATTTGCTACAGAGCTTTATAAAGACCAAGTCTATTAATCTTCAGGCTTGGTCTTCTATAAAACAAGCACAGAAATTTATGTCAAATATTATGCTATCTGTATGTACACTGAATAGTATTTTCATTTATGGCACCAAGGAAGCTAAAATTATATTAGCCAATAACTGAAGATTTGTTCCTTATAGGATAAAACACCAGCAACCCCCCGACACACACACACACACAAAATACTCCAATTAAACAGACAAAGAACTAGGGAAAACTTGAGGGTAAAAGAACTATAGTATAATCATATGCTGAAGTTAATGGTTTCTGTGTTAAGGGACACAGAGTATGAATTAATAGGAATGAATTTTAGCAATATGCAGCTATTCAGTGGAGCAGCTTTGGAGAAACATACATACTGAAAGAGGACAAAAGGCATTGGATGAAATATAAACACACATCCTATCAAAAAATTGCACAGAATAGCAGAGCTTCTAATTGTCATCACCCAAATTTGTAAATGTTTATGAAAATACTCTAGAGGAAGGAAATTCCTGTTGCTTATGTTTATTTTTGTCTAGACTGGACACCTCAGGAACGGCTAATATGAAGCCATCATTGAAACCAAACCCTGACAAATTTTTGCCTATGAATATGCAAATACATATTATAATGAACAAATACATAAATGCATATGCTTTATGGTCTAGTGAATCACAAGTCTCCACTAGTCATCCATTAACTGGAATGTGTTGGACTTGAAAAAAAAATTCCATGAATTAATTTTATAAAATATTTGTATAAGCTCAAATGTAGTCAAACAGAAACATTCATTAATCAAAAGTACTTTATAAAATATGTTTGCTGGATCATTTTTTCCTAATTAACTCCATAAAGAAAAACTGAAAAAACCCAACCACCTTATTTCACAACGCTAGCATGTGCCGCGTGGATACGAGGTTCTGTGCCATCATGTCTTTCAGTTCTCACAATTATCACCTTGGTTTTCACAGGCAGACAGTAGAATAACAGAAGCAAAGCATCTTGTCCAAGGCCAGACAGATGTTGGAATGGAGATTCAAACCCAGCTCTACTGACACATGCAAAAATACCTGGACATTTGTTAGCTGACAGGAATCATTTTTCTTCTCTAACATAATCTAAAGCACCATGTACAATACTTGGTATCATAGGTATTTGATACATACTTATTGAAAAATATTGCTAAAATAAATGAATAAAGAACAGAATACCTTAAATATGAGAAAGTAAAATATTTTAAAGAAAAGCAGGAACTGTACTATATGTACAATATGTGCCTAATGGATAAACTACATTTTATTTCAGTAAAATTTTAGCCATTAATTTGTTAAAACAATTTAACAGTGGTAACAGTATATTGAAATCTCTGTCTCAGGAAAACAAATAATTGCACCTTTAGCTATGTATGCTAACTCATACATCATTGAATTGTAGTCTCAGAAATAATACATATTATAAACTAACTTTCCATGGCAAATTATCCCTCCTAAAATGTTTTAAAAAATAAATTTTTATTGCCAATAACCTTAATCCAGTTGTGCTGAGTACACTCCAGAAAACAGAACTCAAACATTACTATTGCCCCATAATGAGAGGCAAGACCCTAATGCAGCTTCTGTCAGTGACCATGAAGCATGGACTCTTAGGTTCTTGACCTGAACATCCTCAAGATTAAAATGTGGCTGTTTTTAATGGGGTTTTCAAATTGTATCTCTCTAGAGCCATATTGGGTTTAGCGCAGATGCTTCAGGGTCTCCACAGGTGGGAGAGAGGGAGTCAAAGTAACCGGATCATGGCTCTGGGCCAATCATTTCTATTCCAGCTCCAACCACAACACGAATCTCCCTCTTACCTCCTGACATTCTACATAAGATTCCCTTTATCACACTTCTTCCAAACAGCAGAAACTTCTCATTCAGTTACCAAATTAGATCAACATTATGAATCTATGACAGGCAAGCAGCAGAGAAGACCCCTGGAGTCAGTCTATTTGGTTCCAAACCAAGCTCTACCTACTCACTAGCCCTGTGAACTTGGGAAAGTTACTTAATTTCTGATGTTTCAGTTTCTTCCTCTATTACAGGGCTTTGTAATAAGTTCATATGTACCTTAAAAAGTGCTTAGCATGTAAGTTCTATATAAGTAACAGTATTATTAAGATGACATTGATTCTGTAAACCTCTACTTCAGTGACCCGAAGCAAAATTTGCTGAAAACACTACTTTAAAAATGTCAAATCTTCATAGAAATGCAGTATAGACCACTAAAAGAAATTTAAACTTAATTACTAGAAAATCTAGATATAAGTTGTAAATAGCTGTGCTTGAGATCACTGACAATTTGTGCTTTTATAGGACAAACATGTTTACTTTATACCTAACTAAAAATAAAAACCCATGAACAGTTGATTGTCTTCTTCCTTCACATGATACAAATAGTTAAAGGATGTTGGGGCTTTTCATTGGTAGTAAAATATTTACTTCAGTGTCTTTCCTCTGTTGCACAGATTTCGACTAGTCAATGAAGCTTTTATCATCCTTCCTGGTCCTCAATTAGAAGACTGAAAAGCAGAGGGTCACTCCATAACAGCTCTGTTGGGTACCCACCACGTGCCATGATTTTCTAAAACAGGACATACTCCTCTCTCTATATCAGTCAAAATGTAGGTGCTCAAACAAGCTGAAATAGCACTTTGCAATATAAATTATAAAGAATACAATTTCTAGCCCTGGCTGGCATAGCTCAGTGGATTGAGCACAGGCTGTGAACCAAAGTGTTGCAGGTTTGATTCCTAGTCAGGGTACATGCCTGGGTTGCAGGCCATGACCCCCAGCAGCCGCACATTGATGTTTCTCTCTCTCTCTCTCTCTCTCTCTCTCCCTTCCCTCTCTAAAAATAAATAAATAAAATCTTAAAAAAAAGAAAAAAGAATGCTATTTCTGAGAAGTGAATGTTAATATTCCAAGTGAGCCTCGCTAAGTCTTTAAAGATATGATATTTGATGCAACCACTACAAATTTCCTTTCTAGCAATTTCTAGTTGTGGTTTTACCAACAGGTTGTATTAATGGTGCCACTACAATTATTCCCAGATTTCTTTGTCTTCTATCCACTGAGGTTGAAGAAAATTTTCCAAGGCTTCAATTTAAAAATACTCTTCTCGAAGTTATGTGTGTAGTTCCCTCCTCATTCCCCCATCCTCTTACCCCTGAGGAGAGTGCCCTGGGTTTGAGAACCACTGCTCTAGGACGACTCTTCTCAACAGCCAGCCTCCTGGCCCCACACATTTTTGGCCTTTTTAAACCTGAATCCCAAAGGTAGGGGTTTGGAGCTTCACAATTTTGGTCAATATCTGAAATGCTATTCAAGACAAGTACACGACTTATGCCATTTCTGAAATAAAAACAATACTGGTTTCCTTTGTTATCAATTCCGATAATTTATCCAATTTCTCTATTCACTTTAATCTGATGTTCACATTTGTCTACTTTTATATAGTTTTAAATGATATTCTAGTTGATGTACATTTCATTCACTGTTTAAAATCACACATTCTAAAATACGGCTATTGTACTCTGAAGCCAAATACCACCAACTTAGAAGTTAATAACGACGTGGCATTTAAAAACCCCAAATTTATTTCAAATTAATATTTTCATTTAATATTAATGTTATACCAAAATTATCCATCTACAGTGAGTGGTCCCTTTGAGGTACTTTGAGAAAAAAAGGGGAAAAACAAACAGTTGCTTACTTGATTGTCTGCAGAAACCTCACTCTGTCATTGATCTCATCGGGGATCTTACTGAGGATTTGTTTAAGTGCTCGTGCCTTTTCATTCAGGTCCTGGAATTCTGGCTCTGGTCGTTCAATCATATACTCTGATGAAATAAACATGTAATAAAAAGTGTCATGCAACTCCACCAAATGCAAGTCTCAGAATTCTCAGTGTTGGTCAAGAGGGAGGAGAAAGGCCAGATAACTAAGAAAGGCAAGGTTGCAAAAGCTGGATTTGTTAGAGTTCAACTCAGCTTGGTAATAGCAGAGCTCTTACTAAGTAAAATAACAGAAAATGAAAGACTACACATTTTCAATTTGAAGTAAATAGCTCATGAAACCATGCTAAATAAATAAATAAAATTAAAAGGGAATCAATCAGATTCATCAGGTCTCTGAAGCTACATCTCTCAAGGAAATCTTAAAGCAATGACATTCATGATAAATATGATGGCAACATGTATCTGCTGATGGGGAAGATGACTTTAACAAAAACCTATATACTGAATATACAATGTCTCATTGTATCAAAATCCAAACAACCTACTAAAATTGTCAGTATGTTCTTGAAATCTCACTTAAAAACAAAAACACTACCATGAATTTCAATACAAGAGTTGGATCACAGAATAGCAACTTTGAAAAGAAGTTCAATCAGACCTGGTAGAGGCAAAAACATTACTAGCAAATTCACTGTACAACCAGAAACATTACAACCCTACCAATCAATATACTGAGACTCACAGGCTGGAAATACTTACATTTAGAATAATAATAATGACTTTCTAATAAGTTATTGAATCAGTTAAAGTATTTACTTTTGTTTTCCCTAAATATGGGAAATTATACGTCTACGTTTTTCTGAATTAGTGGCAAAATAGCTACTAAATTTAAGTGAAATCCATTTCTAATTATTTTAAAAAAGCAAAAAATGAGAAAGAAGAATTGTTATTATATTGTTCTCTCAAATCTGTGCTAAAAAAAACCCACTATTCTAAAGTTAAAAAGATACCTCATTATTTTCAATTGCTATTTATATAAAGTGAATACAAAATCAAATAACCATTCCATAGAGTTTAGTTTATCTTTGGCAAAACCCAAACTCATCAAATAACAGGGAAAAAGTTAAAGTGTACAACATAAATACTTGACTTCAAGCAATTAAGTCTGACAAATATAAAACAAAAAGAGAACTACTTTCCTCTTTTACAGTTTTCCTCCTACTAGCATCACAGTAACAACAACAAAAAGAAAAAGGAAGAAGAGAAGGGGGAGGCTACTCCCTTTTGTCAAATAATATAAAATTTGAAAGAAGTGTTTTTTAACAACTATAAGAAAAAGAAACTAAAAATAGAATTGTCTTTTGACCCAGCAATTCCACTGCTGGGTTTATACCCTAAGAATCCTGAAATACAAATCCAAAAGAACCTGTGCACTCCGATGTTCATAGCAGCACAATTTACAATAGCCAAGTGCTAGAAGCAGCCTAGGTGGCCATCAGTAAATGTGTAGATCAATAAACTATGGTACATTTACACAGTGAAATACTACTCAGCATAAAGAAAGAAGGAGCTCCTACCCTTCCAGACAACACGGATGGAACTGGAAAGTATTATGCTAAGTGAAATAAGCCAAGTGGTGAAAGACAAATACTACATGATTTATCTGTAAGTGGAAACTAATGAACAAAACAAACTGGCAAGCAAAATATAGCCAGAGACACTGAAATCAACAACAAACTGACAGTAACCGGAGGGAAGAGGAAAATAACGTGGGAAAGAAGAAAAAGGGAAGTAAATGAACATGAATGAGGGATCCACGGACAGAGCTAAAGGAGGGTGGGACTGAGGGTCGGCATGGGTAGGGCGGGGGAAGTGATGGTGGGAAAATGGAGACAACTGTATTTGAACATCAATTAAAAAAAGGAAAGAAAACAAAGAAAACTAAACAAGACTCTGTGATTACCTTCTACATCATCAGCAGCCATTCGAAGAAGGGACTCTGTGAAGTTAACTTCTACACTTTTTTTCTCTAAAATTTTCATAATGATGTCTTGTGTGAGTCCTGGATTTTCTTTTTCAGCCTGTAAGAAAAAGAAAGCTAGTTTTGAAATACAGAAACAAAATCTGAATTTTAAAACCAAAACTTAATTGTTTAGAACCTTTGGGAGCTTAGACTAATCAACTTAAAAGTGCAGAAATCTTTGTAAAGCAAGTGTGGTCATGTTTTGTTAAAACTTAAACATCAGTCACTTATTACAGACAAGGTCCTATTTTCCATTTGAACATAAAGTACTTAACATTTCCTACTTCTCCTTTACAATCTCCTGCAATGAGAGATATAAATAAACATTATATATATTTTGGTAATCCATCAATTACTTTTTCCAGAAATATACTGAAGACTTTAAGCTTTTTTTCATTAGCTAATCTTTCACCTTGAGGATCAAGCAACTACTCATCTCACCAGTATTTAGCAGATTCTTTGCATTTGAATTAACAGAATGTCAGGAAAAACAAAACAAAAAAACAGGAATTCTTTTGCAAGTTTTATTGAAGCTACACAATCCCTTAAATACTCTCCCGCACTTTGCACTTTATTTGCACTTTGTTTGCATGAAACCTTGTTTGTTTTATTTTTGTAGCATGAATATTTCCTTCACTAGTTTTCGGAACATCATCAATCCTTTACTACCTCTGGAGCTTGCTTCACTAATGAGTCTACATTGTTTCTGTGTTACTCCCCTGGGCACTAAAATCATCCTAGTCATTTCAAGACTGAGCACAAAGAGTTCTGGGTTTACCAAAGTTAATTTTAATTTTCAAGAGCTGAGCTTTTCACCAGTAATTCTGTACCATTTCAAAATTGCTTTTCATACTTATAATTACATCCTGAGTTTGTTTCTTTTAAGATGACCATGAATTTTAGTCTATTACAGCATATTATTTCTCATTAGATTTCAGTATCAAAAACTAAAAGGTTGTGGATTGGAATGGGAAAACAAAATATGCAACATTCAATCCTGAGATCATTTTAACTTTTATTAAATGCTATTCAGGGAAGTCATTATGATAGATAATTAATAACAAAATAGCCCTGGCTGGCGTAGCTCAATGGATTGAGCACGGGCTGCGAACCAAAGCATCGCAGGTTCGATTCCCAGTCAGGGCACATGCCTGGGTTGCAGGCCACAGCCCCCTGAAACTGCACATTGATGTATCTCTCTCTTTCTCTTTCTCCCTCCCTTCCCTCTCTAAAAAGAAATAAATAAAATCTTAAAAAAGGTGACAAAATAGAGGGCCCTATTGAATTCTATTTCTTTTAATAGTTCCCCCTTATCCATGGGGGATATGTTTCAAGACCCCCCAGTGGATGCATGAAACCTTGGACAGTACAAACCCCTATACATACAGATGTTCCTCAATTTATGACCCTACAAGCCCAGGACAAATGGAAAAATATCCTAACTCAAAAATGCATTTCACACATGTAAGCTACTGAACTACTACAGCTTAGCTAAGGTTACCCATGCTCAGAACGCAGTATCTAAAAAACTCTGGTAACAAAGTACACTATAGAGTATTGGTTGTTTACCTTCAGGATTGCAAACCTGACTGGGAACTAGAGCTGGCTGACACTGCCCAGCACCATGAGAGTGTGTCAAACCACATATCACTAGCCAAGGAAAAGATGAGTTCAAAATTCCAAGCATGGCTTCTACTGAATGCAAACAAATGGCTTTCAAACCATTGAAAACTTGAAAAATCGTTGTCAAACCACTCTAAGTTGGGAACTGTCTGTACTATGTTTTTCCTAGACATCCATATCTATAATAAAGTATAACTTATAACTTAGGCACAATAAGAGACCAACAACAATATCTAAGAAAAAGGAACTGCAACAATATACTGTAAGCAGCTAGATGAATATGGCTTGGTGCGACTGGTTGCAAGGGATCCCTTGCCGAAGTCTTTGCATAGGTGTCACGTTTTCCAGTGCAACATGTTTCTGTAACCTATTGGAGCCTTTTCTGTTCATGTCTTCACCCACAAATTTAATGACATTTTTACTTAACTAAACAAACACTTATCACTCACTGTGGCGATAACTTTTGCAGTTTGAGGTGCAACAGAAACTTGCACAAATTTCACAAATTTCTTTTTCTTTCTTCACAATTTCATGAATAGAAGATTTGTTCTCACCAGAGACCTTACCAACCTCAACATATGAATCTTTTCTTTCCTTATTAGGTCAAAAACTTTCACCTTTTCAATAAATGGATGCACTTTACAGCAACTCCTTGGCATAACTGAATCGCCAGTATAACTGCTCTTGAGCTTTGGGGCAATTATTAAGTAAGTAAAGTAAGGTTACTTAAACACAAGCACTGCGACACCACAGTGGACCAATCTGATCACTGAGAAAGTGACTAAATGGCTAATGGCGGGGAGCACAAACAGCATGTAGAGGCTGGACAAAGGGATTCATGTCCTGGGTGGGACTGAGCGGGATGGTGGCATTTCATCATAATACCCACAACAGCACAAAATTTAAAACTTAAGAACTTTTTATTATTATTATTATTTCTGGAATTTCAGAACTTATACATTTCAAATTTCAAATTTATAATTTAAAAATTATAGAAACTATTTATGAAATTTTCCATAGAATGTTTTTGGACCTTAGTTGATCACAGGTAACTAAAGTGTAACTGTGGATAAACCGTATAACCTGTTTTGATTTTTCTTCCACAAACATATTTAAGACCGACTCTATCTGAAACAAAAAACAAACACCCCAAGAGTTGTCTTTAAAAGAAAGCAGAGGGGAAGAGAGTATAAGGGGGCTAAATGGCAATGGAAAAAATAGGTGTACAAATATGACTTAAGATGGTATAAACTTTATTAATTTGATGAACTGCCACAAAATTACATATAGTACACTATTTAAATAAGTATTTGATAACTGATGTATCTTTCCTAAGTAGCATTAAATTATTGTAACACATTATCTTGGGAAGCAGGGAAGCATTCTCTATATGCTTCCAGACAATGCCGGCAGAAAACAATCTCTCTAATAAAGTTAAAATAAGGTTCTGAAAAAATTAAATGCTGAGCCTTGGCCAGTGTGGCTCAATGGATTGAGTGCTGGCCTACTAACTAAAAGGTCGCCACTTCGATTCCCATTCAGGGCACATGCCTGGGATGTGGACCAGGTCCCCAGTGCAGGGCGCGAGAAGCAACCACACATTGATGTTTCTCTCCCTCTTTTTCTCCCTCCTTTCCCCAATTTCTAAAGATAAATAAATTCTTAAAAAATATATTAAATGATGAAAGCTTGAAAGCAGTTTTCAATACCAAGTTGTTCTGGGACCCCAAAATGTCAAAGCAGGAACATTACTGAAATCTCGCAGAAGCCCCTAACTTCCTCAGTTCAGTGTTCTTTGTGCCAAAAGAAATACCTAACAGCGCTGTGTATTACATAGTTAGGTTCTAACAACTTAACGAATGACATCCTAACAACTTAATAACCTTTAAATATATGCAAATTGAAAGAAAAATATCTAATTTCATTCTTAAATAACCACCACTCCCTTTTTAAATGGGATTTGTGCACCCTGTCAGGCACTGCACAGTGTTTCATATGCTGGATTAGACTGGACACTCTCTCCTCATTTCCTGTTGTACTTTGATTTTCTTGTGGCACTTGCATTTTATCTCAGCAATGGCCAAAAGTCCAGCTAACACAGACATGACATCACTGAAAGGAATGTAACCCAATCAAATATGTTGAAACAGCAAACTAGTAGTTCAGTGTCAAACAGATGTTGAGTATTACCATGTTGTTTCAAAATATTAAAATCTCTCATGACGTCTGAGTTTGCTGTGGGGCCCCAGGATGCCTCGGCACATAGTTTGAGAACAGTTGTCTTAGGAGCTTCTATTTGAAGTCTTACTTAAACTACTTATTTTAAAAGCATTAAATTTACCCAATGACTCTGAGTGACAAAATAAACAGATCTACCATTAAATCAGAGACTCTATGCCTACAGATTTCCCCCCCAGAATAAAACCCCCAACTCTCTGGGTATCCAGTTTTTATAAAGAATTCAATTGTGAGAGAAAACTATCCCCAAGGGCAGTAATATCCACTTTTCTGAATCAGGGATTCTCAACAGCACAACCTATCCGATGGGAAAGGAATCAAAAGCAAAATAGATTATCTTAAATGATAATATTCACTAATATTATTTTACCTCAAAAAAAGTTATTTTAATCATTTTCCCCCAAATAACAAAAATAGATTTTGAAGGTTGATAAATATTAACTGTTGTTGTGGACCAAGAACTTGGAAATATGCATATAAATACAGATAAATGGCTGGGTGAGATTATTCAATTTTCTTCAAGTAAGTTATTGTTTAAAAAGCACAAAGATATCTTTCCAATGCATGCCTTCCTTTAATTTCATATGAAATTTTACAAATTAATATGATAATTAAGAATAAATCGGGGAAAAATGCAGACAACTATAACTGAACAATAAAATAATTAAAAATAAAAATAAAATTAAAATTAAAAAAAGAATAAATCAATGCATAACTGACTAATGGTTTCCTCTAAAATAACTTACACTATGCTGAGTTAAGAATCCATGTTGTAGGTAACAAAATTTACCCATGAATCAACCAGATCTACCATAGCCATGCACTTCAAACATACTGTTTGTTTTTCACTTGTACTTCAGTGTTAAAACGTGAGCTTATATTTAAGGACATTACAAGAAAAAGCTTCATGAAATTCACTGTTTTATCTCTTTTATGAATGTCATTTAGTATACCACCTACTGCTTCAGATAGGGTCTTCTTGACCAGAATATAAAGGAGAAACTTCTCCCTACTCTTGGTATTAGGAAAGCTGAAAAACCTCTGCTTTATCAATACCACACTGTGTAACCTATCATGTTTTCCTTCTCTTCTTTGGTTACAACAATGCTTAAAATTGTTGTCATTATGCCTCCGTAATGACCAAATATGCCATTCCAAACCACACTAAACAAAGAAAGAAAGAAAGAAAGAAAGAAAAATTGATAATGGTACTGATTTGTTGATTCTCTTCATTAACCCAATGATTTGGCAAAGACACATTTTAAAGAAGCTAGTATGAATGTGTGCAAGGCTCTACATTTCAGCACATGTCAACATAGTTCCAATCCAACAAATACAATGCAATTTCTTGTAGAGAGATAAGAGAGATGTCTGGTTACATTATGCTATCAGTTAAGAGTGGTATCTATAAACTAATCTTTGCCATAAAAATAATGGATGAATTTATAGTTTCAACTCCAATGAAACACAACTATAAATTTGTTTAGATTTAAACATTAAAATACTTAGCTATTGAGTATTTTAGCTATTGATGGTAACAAACACAAAAAGTAAATAAAAATTAAAGTTTTGGGCATACTGATATGTACTTTGGGAGATGGGGATCAAGTTTTATACATAAAGCAGGGCCACCCAATAAAAACACAGTGCAGTGAACAAATACAAGGCTCTATAATTTTAAACTGTCTACTAGCCACATTAAAACATTATACAATATATAATTTTCTTAAGAGTCCATCTAAAATATTACCACTTCAACATGTAATCAATATAAAAAATATTTATTACTGAGTTATTTTGCATTCTTTTTATTGTACCAAGTCTTCAAAATCTGGTGTGTATTTTATACATACCGTGCAATTCAGCTGAAACTAGCCATATTTCAAGTGCTCAACAGCAACATGTGGTTAGTGATTACCAACTGAAAATCTCAGGTGTACAGACAAGGAAAAAATTCATGCTGAATGACTTAGCTGTATATACTCAAAGTGTTCTTAATCTAATGTACACACAGGTCTTATTTTCCCACTCAAAAACACTGTTTTATAATTATATTCTATAATTAGTATGAAGAAAATCTTTTGGAGTTATAGTTTTACCAAAGTTTTTAACATGTCAAATAAAAAAGAATTTAAAAATCTACTGTAGAGTTAAAGAGAGAATACTCCAAAGACAGATACAGAAGCACAAAGTGAACAGATAAATGTTAAGGAAAAAGCATTTGTTTCACCTCCTGTTGTGGAAGAGTGTTAGACTTTACAGAGTACAACAAACAGGCCTGAGATGGTTGAAAGGGTTGTCGCTAAAAGGAAGTAAACTGGCAATTATCAGCCAGTATCCAGATTTATGTATAACATACATTTTAATAATCACAATGAATATTTTGTGCCTCACCTTAATGAAAGCTGCTCTCAGTGTCTGAGCTGCAGATAGATTTACTCGTTCTAGCTGCAATAAAAATTTTAAATCACAATTAATATCAATTTTCTTAGAAAAAGCAACATTTCTGGTATTCCATTCTATATTAAGGATATTAACAGATATATCATTTAACTAACAAAAATACTTGCTAATAACTCTAAATCACCCTAATTCTCCAGAGAGGCTATCTAAAATTTTCATTAAAAACCACAAAAAGTTAAAGTATAAAAATCAGTTCCTTATTACTTTTTTCAAAAATAAGAAATACTCTAACTTAAAAGTAAATTTATTTTAAGCACAGAATACAAAATAATATGAGTCCCAATGGAAAGAACAAACATATTTACTGTAATTAATAAAGACAGGGAAGGTTCAGGATTAACTCTAAATGCTCTGCTGCAAGTATGTGGCAAACTGTGTGTGTATGTATTGAATATAAAATGACCAATACAAAGAAAACATTTATTATTTAAGATTCTCTGTATTTACTACCTTATTCCTCCTTAATTGCTTTTCAATCCCCTCAGCAAAGGATTAAGCTGAGATTAGTTTATTTTATTAATTAGCAAACAGTACGGATAAAAGGTTTGTCTGACACTCAACCTGAAGACTGTGGATCATCTGGATTTCAAAGGTGCTTATATCTATCCTCTATTTTATCAGGAGTAAAAAAAAGTTACCTAACATAACTAAATCAAAAGTTCAAGCCAAATGCTTTTAATTTTTATACCAAATATATAAGGTTTATAATTTTGAAAGATAAAATGACCTTATTAGACAATTTATAGAATTCATTTTCAGTGAGCCAAAAACATTATACAATTTCATGTTTAAAAAAACCCTCATTGTTGAAGAGTTAACTGCCATACTTAAAATAACTATCTTCAGTTAAATTCAGATTTGTTTAATCCCAAAGGATTAGGCCAGTTAATAAAACCTCAACATATGTATTTTTTTGTTTGTGACAATATTAAATGTTCAAAAGAATTGTCACTTTTATAAATTTTTATGCAAGTAGAAAATTTCTACAAAAACCTTATGAACATATATTATGTACCAACTATTCTTTTCAATCTCTTGCAGTGATGAAAATGTAGGTTTTCCCTTATAAATGACATACAGTTTGGGGCAAAAGTAGGTTAAAAGTAGGAGTGAGTTTATTCTTGTATTATTTATTATTATTGTATTATTTTCCATATGTAAACCTACTTTGCCACATCCTGTATATATAACATTTACATATCAAAGGAATCTCCAACACTTTAAATCAATTTATTTTCTAAACAAGACAACAATGTCAAGAACCTTATCTCCCTATGAATTATTCACCTTCAGCATATGTAAAAGCAACAAAATCTGCTGAGAGAAATAATATAAATCCAAAAAAAACACAATGGATCATTTGTTTTAGTATTGATTTACCTTCTACAATCTTGTAAAATCTAACACTGCTTTAGTAGGTATAACGGAAAACACAAGAGGACCAAGTTGGCAAGTACAGCAAAAAAGAAACTCTGGGGAGTTTATAAAATTATTTTTTCCCCACAAAATTCATTTAGTTGTAATAAACACTACTGAAGATTAAAATAATAACACAGTTCCTCTGATCTCAAGTTCTTGTTGTGCAAGAGGCAGAAGGAGACAGGATGAATGTTTCCACCCTGATAGAAACCTATTTCCTTATTTGGGTTAACACCACATTCTGACCTCTTTCAACAAGTCAAAGGCCTGAGTCAGATGTGTGCCTCCAATTATCAGCAATATTAACTCATTCTGTAATGCCCTGACTGATCTGTGAAAGGGCCAAGGCAAGTAAAAGAGGTCAAGAAAAGTCAGTGAAGGACTCACAAAATTAGCCAAGATTCCTTAACATCAACATCTCTAGATTTCTAGAGTAAGTTTGCATGTGTGTACCTTAGAAAAGAAAGGGGATGCTCAGACAGAACACACTAAATCAAATCCATGAGCTCTGAAGCACCTCACCAGAATCTGCGAGGAGTTATTCTGGGATACATTTTATATCCAGACACATGCAATAAACCCACTAGGTTTTATTACCTATATGGTATTCACACTGCCCAGGCATAAAGGCCTATACGTATTTTTTAAATTGAACTTAATCTCTTATCCGTAAATTTATCTAAATTGTCTGGAATCTATCATTTTAAGCAATCATACTTAAGTAGCAAGATATGTTTTTTTCCCTTCCCAATTAAAAGCACAAGAGTGCTTATCTTTTATGCCTCTCGCTTGTAATATATGATTTCATAATAAAGTCATGTTCATATTACTAGCACCTTTTCATGAGAGTATCAGGTTCTAGTAATATTCTAACAGCAACCATTTATTAAGGACTTATTATGGACTTGATCATACAAAGTATTTTTCTAGAGAGTATCTCTAACCCTCACAATAAATCTGGAACTAGCTACCACATCCATTTTAGAGAAGAAACTCAGTTTGCATAAATTTATGCAAATGTTAAATAACTAGTAGGTGGAAAGAGAGGATTCATACCAAATTTGTCTGGCTCCCAAACTCATGCACAAGACACTAATGCTACCCTGCCTCCTTGTACTTGCCCACTCCAGACTGGAGTCTACCCTATCACTGAATCTCTTCAATTATTTAATAACAAACAAATTTCTGAGTTTCTATCATGTGTAAGGAAGATAGTGTGAGAGCTGCAAAGAAACAGAGGGTAGTCTTAGAATCCCAGAAGGTCAATTTAGTTAAGTAAGTAGCTTCATGGGAATTGATGGAACCACTGTCAAAGTAGGAGGTAAAATACGAATATGAGATCTGAACTGGTCCTTGAAGAATGTGGCCTCTTAAAATCAACCTCTTTGGCAGTTCTCCCACTTATGGGTTTCTTCAGGGTTGCAACACAAGGAAAAATGATTTTATGCAAGGTTAGAACAGAACTTTCATTGTGTGTCCAACACTTTTACTAATGAGTTGAGCATTTTTTTTAATTTTGGGGATAACAGTCTTTGGCTGGGGTATCTTTAAAGAACCAATACAGTCAATTTTTTTAGTAGTACTTGATAGTGTATACACCTTGAGTCCAAAGAAGGGAGGGGGAACATACGACTACACTGTGCATTAATGGATACTGGAACAAGGAAAGGCACTCCTTGGGCCTCCATCATATTGAACTTCCATGTCATCAGTAAGAGAGCAAAGAAAAGAAACTCAGAGAGAGAGAAAAGGGTGCATAACATTTCATCTCATGTAAAAGAGAAGAAAAGGTACCTGCTCAAGTACATTTGGAGGGAAATGATAGGGAGCTTAACATTAGGTCTCTCCCCCATCCTTACATTCTGGTTTGTAAGCTCCTCCTCCAACTTACTCTTGATAGCTTTAGAGGGCATTGTTAACCACAAACTTGTTAAATTTTACTCTCTGGATTATTTATTAAAATGCAGGGTTTAGCACAAATAATGTCCCTTTTTTATTATAAAATCTTATATTACAAAATCATAAGCATGTAATTCTGTAACATAACAATATCACATTCAAGCACACCATGACATTTTAGATGAAATGTTAAAATTAAAACTATAAATTATTACACCCATTTCATTACCCTACTAATTACACTCAAGCAGGCGTTACTTCTGCGGGACCCTGTACTTTAAAAGCTCATACAAAGTGTCGATTGCACAGAGTTCATTTATTGTTTACTCCCCCTAGAAGTATCAGTTCATTCCTACACTTCACTTTCTATTATCAAGCCAATCCCTAAAATAAGTAATTAAAAAAAATACATTTAACCCTTTTGTTGCTCAAGTTTTATAGAAGCTGTATCAAACTTCTGAAAGTTTTTTTAATGTCAAAATAATTAGGTTAGTTGATTCTGGATGGTCTAAAAATCTCGCTTCCTCAAAATCAGACATTTGCCACACTCATATCCCTCCAACCCCCCTAAAAAATTATTGTAAAGAGGCCACATATTAACTTTGTGGTGCCAACGAGAAAGCAAATGCAATAGTCTATATTTTGTACATAGTAAGTTCAATACATGTTTCTAAAAGAATCAGTTCCTGAGGTTGCCACATTGTCTTGCAAAAAAGGTAACCAGAACCACTTTATTCATATAAAAGTATTCCTTTAAAACACTGCCTATAAGTATACAAAACTCTAGGCTATGATTACAGTTTTGTCAGAAAATTACAAGGAAGACTGCTTAATACTAACAGTTAACATTTACTACACACTTGGTACTATTCTAAGTGCTAAAACATATTAACTCATTTATTTCACTGCATTGCGAGAATAATTTCTTATCCTCCTTTTACAAATAAGAAAACTAAGACGATTATATAACTTAAGTGACAGGGCAATAATTCAAATGTAAACATTAGCTATGATTACCTCTGGATAATGGAACTGCAGGGTAAACCTACGCCTTCACTGTGAAAAAGTATGTTTGATATGCTCAAAATTTGGGATTTGATATTCTTCACTGAGGGGAAAAATGGAATAGGTAGATAGGTAAAGCTGGAGAAATATTTCCTTGTCCATAAATTGAGAGTTGCATATTCTGCTGAGATTGGCAGGAATAGCTGCTTCAAATGCTTCTAAACAGAATGATACTAACTATTCACAAGCACCGTTTTGTGCGATTTATTAATAGACAAGCAAATACACCTTTGATCTAAAATTCATCTTTGGTTGCAAAATTGTTATTTCTGTCTCAAAATACCTACTTCATCACAAATTATATTTCATCTTAAAACAGTTCCTCCACAAAGTCAGAGGAAAAGAAGATACACGATATATCTTTTCCTGGAATGAAGAATTGAACCATACACATCTCTCTTCCTCTATAAATAAAGAATTAGTGAAAAATAATAGCCCACAAGAACCTGAAATGACACCTGGCATGAGGTTTCTATAAACTCATTCCATAATGCAACCAGGAGACCTATTTTCACAGTACATTTAAAACACATGCAATATACTTGGACTCTGAACTCTGCAGCAGCCGATTAAACAAGAAACCCACTCTTTCAGCTGTCCTAGCACAGCTTCATTAAGTTTAGCAAGCATCAAGCTCCCAGAATGCCGTAAATAAATGCCTTGTGAGCTGAGGTACTAAAATTTCCTCAGGTGTAAGGATGTACTACTGTCTAAACATCTGCTCTACAAGATGACTTCTAGACCCACCATTGTTATTACCATGGATGTAAAATTATGGTGAGAATGCATAAGATTTTTAACTCTTACATTACACTGTGCACAAAATTTAGCAAATCATTTAGCTTCAGAGTAAAATGTTCATCCCCACTGTAGTACTACTTTCTATAAGATTCATTTGACAACTACTTATCTTTAAATCTGCATAGCACAGAAAAACAAAGCCCAACTAATTTCACTATTAGTAAATTTATAGAAAAATGTACCTTTGAACTATAAATATTAATTAACTGATTAGGCATCTTATTTAAGATGTTACATTAATACACTGGAATGTCAGAGAACACTAGTACTTTATTTTTTTTAACCTAACACTTCACATTTCAAGGCACATAATTATTTCTCCCCATTCCTAAATCAAGACTGAAATTTCATCTCTATTACAAAAAGGAAACCTTCTACCAGAACTATTCCCTAAATGCCTATTATTTCTGAACACACTTTTAAAAATATATGACCTAGATTATTTTTTAAAAGCTTGATAACATGATGTTTGATCAGTAAATTCAATTTGAGAATTAGACCCTACAATTTGATGTAGTATCTCTCAGTCTGCCACATCTAGCCATTTCTTTTTCAAATTTCACTTCTAATAATTAGTTCTTGAACCAACTATGAATCATTTGGCAACAAATTCTAATTCTGGGCCCATTAACCTACATATGTTTTCAGATCTCATCTGGAGAGAATCACTGCCTTTATTTATGACAGAGATTTACAAGTCCACTCACAGCCATTACTCTTCCTTTCAAGTTAACTTTCCTTATACTTGAATAAATTAGAAAAGGTGTATCAGTATTAATCCCAATGGTTCATTTTACCAGAATCTCAGATCCTAAACAATTATCTTCCAAAATCAAGACTAAAATAAAATCCACTTTCCACATATAGAAAAAGATCACCCACCCTGTCTGGCTGGCTCAGGCAAAGATAAAGGTCGCCGGTACAGTATCTAGTCAGGGCACAAGCCTGGGTTGTGGGATCGTCCCCAATCCAGGTGCATACTAGAAGCAATAGGTCAATGTGTTTCCCTCTCACATTGATGTTTCTCTCCCTCTCTTTTTCCACCCCCATACTCTCTCTCTAAAAGTAAATAAAATCTTAAAAAAAACAAAGCAAAGAAAAAGATCATCCAAATTATTAGGAAAAAGAAAAAAGCTTTTCTTATTCCTCTTCATTAACTACAGGATCAAACTAAAGCTCAGCAACACTGAAGCTCAGCAACGCAACTGCCCTCCCTTCAAGAAAAGACTCAAAATAACCCAGACAAATATACAATAGTCCCCTAAACAACTTGGCCCAGTAGCCTCCTGAGTTAGCTACAGAGTCAGTCTACAGACAAGAAAAGGGGGAGCATCTGAGGAACTGTATTATTGGTTCTCAAAGTACCTGAGAAGTACAGACAAAAATTGTCAAGACAGATTACTCACTAGCTTTCAGGGACTGTCTCCTTACTTCATACCTGGTACAATTAAATAAATAATTAAACATATAATTATTTATCTGCTTAAGCACTTGTGTTCCCTACAATTCCTATAAAGAAGTATGTTGGCTTTTTCCCCATATGTACCTCCAGACCCTAGTGGAATACTCAGCAAATAAATGGTTGCCATTTAGTAATTACTTACTAAACAGAAGTAAAGCACTTGCTTCTAACTATAACTCTAGTCTTGCAACAAAATGGGTAAAGTATTAGAACAAAACAGTAGAAATAATTACTCAAGTGTCAGTTCTAGCTGCCAGATGTGGGTGTAATCAGTCCTAAAAGAGTGGCAGCTACCATGGTAGCAGTATAATAGAGAGGGTTTTCAAAAGATGCCTCTCTTTGCTTCCTCTTTAGTAATAAACTTCTAAATTTCCCAACTTCTTTTGCAGCTTAGGTGTGGTCATAAGATTCTATTTTTGCCAATGAGATGTAAATGGCAGTCTTGTATAGGACATTCAAAAAGGTTAAGAAAGCTGAATCAGCTGGAAGTAACTTACACCGTACCCCGTGCTCCATTTTTTGCCCAATCCAGGGAACAACTTAGGACTGGATGAGCTTCAGCAGCCAACCCACAGGTGAAATGACCTTGATAACTGAAGGCAAGCACTAAGATGATGAAAGATAAGATAGGAACTGAGTTTCTGATGATATTGTGCCATAATACTAGCCCTGGTCCACTTAACTCTAGAATTTTTTATGTAAGAAAAATAAATTTTACCCAAGCTACTGTTTTTTTTTTTTCCTTCCATGAACGCTGAGTGTAACACTATTAGTAGACAACAACATGTGAAGTTACAAAATATTTGTCTGAAATGGAAACTAAGTCTCTGGATTTCAAGTTGAAGAGAATAAACCACTCTCTATTGTCCCCAAGGCATTATAAAATACATCAAATACATTATTATTAAACCTAATAATGTAGGTGAAATGGTTGTGAAACCCACAATCTTACTCCAAATATTTTACAAAAAGATATAAAAACTTATTGGAAATGGTGGGAGTGTCCAGGGACAATAAGATTAATGGTATTGATAGCTTTATAATTAGATTAATAAAACAGCCCCCCCCCCCAAAATCTAATTACACAAAAAGCCTCAAGCCACTGAATTTCGAGTCCTAGGTTTTTAGTCGTACATAATTTCGGGGGGGTTTATATATCAGGACCTTAGTTCACCGTTAAAGGGGAGTAATTAGATTATATTTAAGAAACTTGCACAGCTCTAGAATTCTGTACATACCTTAGCATATTAATTAAAAAAAAAAGTATTAAGTCTTAGAAGATTCCTCAAATTAAAAAAGCAACTACATCTTCTCTACATACAAAGCACTGGTATGTTCCATTTATCAGTAAAAAGGTAACAGTACTGACTGTAACTCATCAGGAGATTTTTGTGTCTGCTCTTCTATCTAAAATGTGCTTATCCTCAGCTCTCCAGCAGTCTAACTCTTATCTGCTCCTTTTAGATAGTAGGTCTGTTCTTTAGTAAGGCCTGCCTTGGCTCCTAAAATAGGTCCCACCTACTATTTTTTACACTTCATAGCACTTACAACAATTTTTTATTCACCTAATTATTTGTATTCTTTTGTTTAATGTCTCTCTCTCCCACTACACTAAAACTTCCAGAGGGGTAACAGTTCATCTGGATTTCCCCACACTGTTTCATGTCTAGTCCTGGCATGATACCTAATACACAGATGGAGATCTCTATACAAGTATTTATAATACGAAAGAACAAACAAATAAATAAATACATGAAGTAGGTATTTAAAAACTGCAAACAACCTTGGCTGGTGTGGCTCAGTGGACTGAGTGACAGCCTGAGAACCAAAGGGTCGCTGGTTTGACTCCCAGTCAGGGCACATGCTTGGGTTGTGGGCCATGTCCCCATAGGGGATGCATAAAAGGCAACCACACATTGACGTTTCCCTCTCCGCCTCTCTCTCCCTTACCCTTTGTCTAAAGATAAATAAATAAAATCTTAAAAACAAAAAACAAAACACACACACACACACACACACACACACACACACACACAACAGCAAAGAGCCTGTGAGGAAATATTTACCAACTTACCTCATTAAACACCGGATACATGACTGCATACAGGGGCATAGAAACCATGGAAGTGGTCTCAGCTTCATTCTTCATCTCTTCCATTGTCATCCTCATTCAAAGGCCAACGACAGCAGGAAAAGCAGTGCTAAAATGCAGCAGAATCTTCATTCACTGCAGTATTTCTTCTCTTTTTGTGTGTGATAAAAGAATAGGGCATAAAACATATACTGACCTGGTTAAAGGGGAGAAAGAACAGAGAATTACTATATTAAGAGGAAACAACAAATGCCAATCAATAATTTTCTTTTCCAATGTATAGTCCTCATCTTATGAAAATCTGATTTGTTAATATATCTTACTTGTAAAGACAGCCCTGGTCAGTGAACATCTCTTTCCCTTCTCAGACTCAAGAATTACCCTTTCTTGAGAGCTAATATCTCTTATTAGGTTCTATTTTACAAAGCAGTGGTTCATGAACCCACTCATCTTGAACTCAGAAACAGCTCTCTATGAAGCACCATGGATTAATGATGTATCTAATTCCATCATATGCAATCTAGGGAAAAGCATCAAAATGCATAATTATAGCATTTACATGTAACATAAAATTGTAATTATGAAATATATAAGTGCATATGGTGTATGAGTAAAGAATTAAGAATAAAGGTAACACTTTCATTAAAATCCCTTTGCTAATTATTCACTGATTTTGCCACCTAAAAATGACAATAAAAACATAAGTACTATATGATCTAAGACAAATCTTAAAATTATATAATTGCTACCAAATGTGATACATCTGGGAAAAACAGTATGTTATTTTATTTTGCCAGTGGTGCTTTTTGAGTCTTTGTCCAAAGGTGACACAAAAACTAAACAAGGAATCAGTTACTGGTAGTTTAGAATTAAAATATCAAGAATTCAGTAATGTAAGAGAGAAATTTTGCCTTGAGGAGGTGAGTAAATGGTGCTGCTTTTTAAAAAAAGTAATTATATTTCCTTTGCTAGGCTAAAAAATGAGCCTCATTATGTGAAAGAGTAATAGTAATGACATGCCTATATATTAAATAATAAATATATTAAACAAAAAGCAATCAATTTTGAACAATTTCTATCATTTGTAAAGCATTTTCAGATTATAAAACATTTTTCCTATGTACTTAGTCCTCACAATAACTTACTTCACAGTAACAGCTATTCTAATTTTACAGATGAAAAGGTAGGCTCAGAGAAAATAAGTAACTCAAGATCACACAGGCAGAGGCCCAAGACTGGATCCCAGTACTTAGAATCTAGATCTGATACTCCCACATCAGAAAATCAAGTCTGAAGAGCAAACAAAGAACCCGGGCTCATGCATTCAGGAAAATAGCCAGAAGCAGAAGTTATTTATTTACTGAATATTTAGTGCCTACCACATGCAAGATGTAGTGGGGAATGACTAAGATGTCCTAATCATTAACAAGTTATCTGGGTCAGACTGTGGAAGACCTAAGCAGTTTGAACGATACTATCAGAGGCCTAAAGTACATATAGCTTCAAAACTCTTTGATAACCCATCCCTTTTGAGAACTGCTTCCGGTCCTTCTGTATCCTGACCAGTGATGGGGAACTCAACACCTACTTAACAATCTGGTCCCATTTCTCGTGGTTCTAAACATAAGAAAGTCTTATTTCTGACTTCACAGAATAAGAACAAAAGGCCAATTCCTAAATTTTATTCTATAGGGCAAGAGAAAATCATCACCCAATCAGACCATTGATTTAAGTAGATTGCTTTGGTCACAGCATTAAGAATAGAATGGGGAACAGAAACTGAAGGGAGAGAAAATTTACATCTTTATAAGAGATCAACAGGACCTGAATCATAAGCAAGAGGAAGTAGGTAAGTATCAGCTGTAGTCCTACTGTTCCTATGTAACTAATAGGGCATTTGGTAATCTACTTTTCCACCTAGAAATAAATTGTGATACTTTTTATATAAACTTGGAACAGGAGAAGAGGAGTTAAAATACAGAGAAATCAGGCAAAATGAAAATGACGGATACTGTATGCACAGTTTAATAGTAAAAGAAGGCATCAATATCAATTTAAAAAGCAAGTAAATAGCAGGACAGAGTCAACAACAGAACCTTGAAGAGCTATCTCACTGGGTGACAGAAAACAGATAATTTATTTATTTAATAAATAAGTATTTGTTACCAATGCAGCATTAGGCCTGGTACTAAATAGAAACCAATGAACAAGGCTAGACAGTCTCTGACCTCATGGAGCTTCTACTATGGAAGGAAGACAGAAACCAACAACTGTGAGTACCACACAGGGGAGGTCAGGATGCTATACTGCTATGGGAGAACTAGATGAGAGAACCATCATTACAAAAACCAGGCATTTGAAATACTCCTAAGCATGGACAGACAACATTTTCTTTCAAATTTATTTGATTTCTTGGTGAGGTCAACAGTTAAACACTCAAAGAATAGATCACTTGTATTCTGGTAAATTGGCGGAGGAAATTCCTTGCATGAGAAGTCTTAAGTCTTCAAGAATCTCACTAAAAAGGAGATGAAACACTAAAGAAGGTGAATACACTAACACAGGCTCAATGAAATAATTTGTCTTTCATTCTTTCAAACACGTGCCTATCCCTGCATATATAAAAGCAGAGGCGATGAAGGGATCAGTAAAGCAGCCAGTAACTTTAGAATTCTTGTTGACCTCTGACCTATCTTCCACACTAAGCTTACTCAAATACTGAATTTTCACCTTTTGTCAATACTAGCATTGCATTCTTTTTTTTCAACTGTGTTTAATAAGCAGTACCATTCCACGTCAAGAAATTTTCACTTAAGATATTTATGACTCATATTAATTATATTATTTCCTCTAAACTAACTTTACAGTACTATCAGCTACTACTTGTCATCAACAATATGGTATTGTAGCCCCAACATTCTGGGCTAAGTAGATGGCTGGCCTACAACACACTTAGCCACCTTTCGAAACTGTTCCTTGGATGAATTTACAACTTTTCAGAACACACATTCACAAATTAGGGCCACTCACGGTTTCATTAATGTTTACATGAGATTAAAACCCAATTCCAATAAGGCTTTTTTAAATATTAAACTGTTCTGCTAGTTTCAGTTCAAGTTAAAATACGTTGTCATTCCTTCTACATGCTTCTTCATTTGAAATGGTTAAATGGACAACCCTCAATCCAAGCAAAAACATGCCTGCTACCTGAAGAGCAAGGGCTAGCTGATCTGAGCCAAGGCGGAGGCCCTGCCCCTTTGAAGATGGTTTCTTCCTCTCACTATGGGTGTGGCCAGGTGTTGACCAGTCATGCAGCACATTATTGGCATCTCTAAGGGACACTGATTTCTGGAGTGGAGTACTGATTACGCATGCACAGTCGATTGAAGATTACTGACTCTAAATCCCAAATCTGGAAAGAACTTAAAAAGTCACCTCATCTACCCTCTCAACACAACAGAAACCAAAGTTCAAGAAATGACTTGCCCACAATAACAATTACTAGCTAACAATAAATAAATAAAAATTAATGTGGGTATGGTGGCAACATAGCAAGAACTATTTGTTTCCTATGTCAGAAGTGTTGCTTTGGGGTAAGAGTTTTCATTTCAAAGCTAGCTCTGTTTCTTGAGTGGTTAGCATCCACAGGGGGAAAAAAAAAGAACCAGGACTACAGATACTAGTAATTCAGATGCAAGGTTACAAGGTATATACTTTTCAACAAACTTCTCTTCAAAAACAGTCTTTGTCACATGGGGATACCAACACAAATAGAATGTAAGCAACCTATTTATACTTTCCCCCTGATTTCCTTGAACGTTCAAAATATCACAGCTACTTTCTAATACAAGGTAAATCAATTTTAAATATCTTCCTGGGCTTAAAACAATTATTTGTTTAGAGTGGGATGGTAACAAAAATAGGTTAAAAATTGGCCATTCCCATGCTAAACTCTTAGTTTCAGGAGTTTTGCCCTACCCAACCAACAAGAGCTTGTTCACTTAAAGAACTGCACTTGGGTGTATCTCAAGCCCCAACATCAGCATTTCCTGAAACAGCCTCACTTCACTCCAGCTGGGGCAAGAGATAACTTTAGAGGCAAAGCTTTATTTGCTTACAAATAAAAAGAGTGGACACAGGGAAATCCTTAGCACTGATGTATGTAGTTCTTGGGGTGAGAAAGAAGCCTCCTAAGTAAATTTGACATTTAAAATGTTTCTAGGTGGGTTTATTTGTCTTGTTTTTCTCTGTAGTTAAGTCCAGGACTCAGCCCCTTTACCTGGTCCTAAATTCTTATAATTCCTTTACTTTCCCTCCCTAAAGGGAGAAGCATTATTCATTTACTTTCTTGCATCTCCAACCTGTCCATGAACATTTAGATAAAAGTTTATTCATTCTAGCAGCAAGCAGAATCCATGTGTTTGTTACCATTTATAAGTGTTTCTTTTTCCTAATTGAGACATTAGAGTCAGCAAAGCAAAAGCAGACAATTAATAAATGTTTGTTTAATGAACAAATTCATAAGATATGAGATAGGCAATATGTAAACTGAACCAGCCTTTGCTAATACTTTTTAAATTATCAAGCCCGGAAAAACAAAAACGTAGAAATTTACTTAATTCAATTAACAAAGTCTGGACCCATTCACATTTATCAGTTTTTACTTCTTTTTGCTATCCCAAACTCTTCCTAACATACTAAGAGAATATAAGCAACAGGTGACTGTAAATAACATCAGAATTTCAACAGAAATTTACAATAACACCAAATAAAAATAAAGTAGAAGTCAGAGGTTATAAATTCTAATATCTCATTTTATTAGGGCTGCTAGAATATTTTTTAGATCCTGAAAAAACTGGCATATAATTTGATATTTCACAATATTCTCAAAGAATTTTGATTAGATTAGATTAACCTTACTTTACACATAAGCACGATCCAAAAAGTTATCCCACTTTTAGCACAAAGCAAAACTTTCTTTATGGGAAAGGGTGCAAGTGATAGAGTTCCCAAATGCTGAGTTGGCCTAAACCATCACAATCACTTCAATGCCCACTAAAAATACATATTCCCAAGACTACTAAATCAAAACCCCTAATACGAGGTCCAAGGAGCTGTACTTTTAGCAGATAGTCCAAATGATTCTTGTGAACAGGACAGGCTGGAAACCATTGGTGTGGAGAGAACTGTGGCCAC